TTGAAATCATGAATCAGTCATTGTTAGACTACCATTGAGAACCTGAAAGAACTGGACGGCCATTTCGTTCTAGTGTGGAACGTATTAGTAGTGTGCATCCACAACTCTTGCTACGTTCAGGAATCGAACCCACAACCTTCGTTCTCGCACGTCAAAGTCTAACCTCAAAAGTGTCAAAGTCTCACTTCAATCAATCCATCATATTGTGGCAGGTGACTGCCTACATACACCCAACAGGGTTGATCTGCATCGGTCACGTCTTTTCACTAGAACTACGAGAATTGCACATTATACAATATTCGTAGGTTACTGGTTTTCGATCATAGGTGTCTTCGAAGCATTGCTCGAGTATCGTGGGACTCCCGAGTAAGCAATGCTGTTGTTAGGAAACGGATGCTAGGTAAGAATGGCAGATCAGTAGATGAAGTGCTGAAACTTCATCAGTTGAGGTGGTTGGGACATGTGTTGCGTATGTCTAACCACCGACTGCCTCGTCGAGCTTTGTTTTGTAGTGTAAGAATATGTTGGAAGAAAGCTAGGGGCAGCCAGACCAAAACATGGCACAAATCCATGAAGTCACTAACAAGTGGACTAAGTCATGTTGGTAGATGTAGGCTACCTGGTTGGGGTCCGCGAGATGATAATAATCGATGGTTAGATACCTTGAATGACATGGCTCAAAATCGTTCGCAATGGCGCCAGTGCATTTATTCTTTGTGTTCTCTCAAACCCTAATCTTCTGGATTCTTCAACAACCCTAGTTTTGACTTTCTAAACTTTTCTCATTTAATCATACTTCTTGAATAATATCTTCTAATCCTAACCTCTTCGATTACTTCTAAATACCTTTACTACCTCTTCTACTATTGGATTTGAATTGACATTTACATCTCTGTGCTGATGTGGTATGGCAACATGAATTGATGTAATTACGTACGAAGTTCTACGTTGCAACTGACTGACTGACTGACTATACAACTATGGAGACTGTTGTTTATTATTAGAATCATTGTTATAAGATTATTAAAAAAAATAATTTTACATAAGCATGAATAAAATAATCAAATAAACATTGTATTATATCAAATCATTATCATACCATTTGTAATACAAATACAAGTGAAGTTATCCATCGAACAAATTTTCCAAATCGCATTTCTAAATACTGTTTAATAAAATTTAAATAATAATATAACAATTGAAAAACACGAAAAATTCATTCGAGAAATAAACTTCCATTTATAAAAAAAGGAAAAGAAATTGTTAAGTAACGATGAGTAACCCACATACGAAACATTTAATTATTTTGACATTTTTTAACAAGCGAAGACTGTGAGACCTCCCCAGTGACAAAAATTACCCGCCCGAGAGCACCCGATTAGGGTTCATCGTGAGTTTCAAGCCACTGAACTGCAATGGTGAGCCTCTACCCGGTGTCATACCAGTCTTTTGAATGTCATGTTAAAATGATGAACATTTGTAGTTCGGCGGTCTCTAAAATAACAGATGCTATTTTAACTTTAACAAAAGACTACAAACTCGAAATAAACATGTTTACATTTTCAGTCGAAGGAAAGTACTTTGTGTTTAGAATGTATTACAAGGTAAAACTAGACAATGTATAATGTAATAATAGCTGCACAATAAAGACATCCAGGTCAGAGAACCAAAACTTCACTTTAATCATTTACCTTATCTTTACAATTTTCTCTACCAACTTAACTCATTAACATTTATGGGGAAAATCAAATTAGTCATTTTAATTAATGACATTCTACTTTAGTAAAGAATTTTTCTGCAGTAACTTGAAAAGGTTTTCCGGTCTCCCACAATGTGCGAGTATGCCATGTACCTAAATCGATGTTTTGAAAAGGGGCATCGACCTCGTAACTTCTTAAGATTGGCTTTCGTCATGAGGAGTCATAACTCTTGCGAACGAAGATCTTCCAACTCCTCGGGCAGAATTTCAATGACTGGAATTTTTTTCTGCTTAGCGTTTTCTAGCAAGTTAGCTTTCTACAGGATGTGGTTACTAACCCCATACCCAACCCTCCTTCTTTATCCGAGCTCGGGACCACCAGTAACCCCAAAGTAGATCCAGGCGGGAGTAGAGAAAAAGAACACCTAGTGGATAGAGCTGGAAAAGAAGGGCTAGACAGTGAGGGATAGAGAATGCTTTTAAGCGGCCTATACTCCTCCATAGGGGTTAACAGGCTGAAGTAGAAAATAGTAAAGTTATTCGGTTCGGGTCACAATTTCCTAATTCGCAAATATCAGTTAACCTGTTTAACAGCCAATATAGTTCCTTACGATAAAGAAAATTAGTATATATAACCAGGAAAATAACAAATAATTCTTATTCAGTGGTCATATAAGTATCTAAATGCTAGACAGCGAATCAAACCTAATATATGTCCGCGAATGAATTTCATGGTAGAGTTGGAATCTGACACAAACCAGATTGTTCATGTGAGCGTTCTGTTAACAAGTTGGCTTTTTTAAGGGAAGGGGCCGCTAACCCTGCACCAGTAGATATTTGTTTTATTAATGAGTTAGAAAATCAATACCACATAGACAGTAGTGAGACAATTCAACAATATAATAGTCAATTAATTACATAATGTTTATAAGATTAACAATAAAATTGAAATGAATTTATATCATCAGTCGATTATTATGAATAATTACAAATAACAGTGAGAATAAGAATCGACATTGGATGCAAATATTAATTCTTTGTTGCTGTTCATAAAATTATTAGAAACGATAAGATTATCATTCAAGGTAAGTAAGACTAGAAGTTGAAATTAAATGGTTAATAAAATCAAAGTTCAAAAAAGTTCAAAGTAAAGGAAAGTACGGTTTTTTGAAAGCTACAAAATACCTTAGAACACACTTTCAATGCAACAAGGTTATATATCCTACTTCCTTCAGCCAACCAATAGTGAGTTCATGAAATAAAGATAAATTATGGTGGAGTTTCGTTTATCTGATTTGGATATTTTGGTTTTGGAGACTTCATTACTATTCCAAACATCATCATCAGCACAAACTTCAGATAGGAGGTAAATTGCTTACTCAACATTTCATCTGCTCCTGTGCATCTAGTTATATTGAGCGCTCAACTAGACTAATGCATCATCAGTGTATTTTCAAAAAATCATCCCTCATGGTTGACCAGAGGACAGAAAAAAAAGATAATGGGAAGCTCTATCTAGTCGATAACAGTCATCACACAGATAAAACTTCAGTATTTAAAGTTTTTTATAATCTGCTTCCACCCGAATTCACTTTTAGGTCTTAGAATATTACTATTACATGTAGCATAAGCTATAGAATAACCCGAATCTTTGCATACATAAACAGCTTGTATAATATCTAAATCTCCCCGGGCCTTTGACATAAATATCATTTTTCATCATAGAGTTATGGAGATTGTGGTTTACTAGTGAAATCATCAATCAATCACTGTCAAATCACCATTAGAAACCTGAAAGGACTGAACGCCTGTTTCATCCTGGTATGAGATTCATCAACAGCGTGCATCCGCGACGGCTAATGGTGATCTAACAATTCAAAAAAATTAATCCCATTAAATAATCTTGATCGAACAGTGAGAAGACGTAAATGATCTGAAAAATGTCTATTAAATAAACGTTCAGATAAACTTAAAGTGATAATTGTATAAATAAAGGAGAGAGAGAGAGGGAAAATTAACGTAGTACAGAAAAAAAATAGAAAATTGTCACATTACCCCAAGAAATAAAATGGTTTAAAGATTATCAGGGAAAATTGACGGTTATACCAAACTGTTTCTGTACACATAAGTGGGGGGGTGTTCGACTCACAAATAGCCAAAGCTTCTATAAACCTCGGAATTCCTCCTTGAATTTATCCGTATAATGTTTTAAAAGCTGTCTTGATGTCAATCATATACACTGTGTTTTTTTAAGAATTTTCATATAAAATGCCTTGACAAGTGTATGTGTGTGACAAGATTGATCGAGATATATGGCGCAAATACATCGTCTGTTTTCAAATCAACTACGTCTTCTCATTGTTTTATCGAAATGTCATTTAAATCTCTTAAACGCTAATTAACACCAACTGACCAATACTATTGTTAAATTGCACAATCTTGTTGGTATTGGCTTTCTAATTTATTTGTAAAACATAAAACTATTAGTGTAAAGTCTTGATGATGAACTAGTTGAAAAGAAATATATTTATTCATTCATGCTGTCTTTCTAATATATATCTCAATAAGAATATTTACCGAATTCATACGAATAGTTTGTTTGAGTGCATAAACTTGTGCTCCATTAAATTGAGTTATATAACATTTTCATCATAGAGCTAAGGAGATTGTTGTCTATTACTGAAATCATGGATCAATCATTATTACACCACTATTAAAAACCTGGAAATACTGGATGGCCGTTTCGTCCTGATATGAGACCCATCAGCAGTGTGCATCCATTAATGACTAGCTTTGTGAGGAAAATCTGGGAGTCCTAGTCAGAAGACGTGACCAGTGGAGTTCAACCCTGTCAGGTGTAGGCAATAACTACCGAAGACAATGAGTGGGTTTGCGCAATGGTGAGAGAGAGGCATTAACACCATCCGATTCCAACTTAATGATCCAGAGGGTAAGTGTTCGCTCCCAAGAATGAAGGTCCTGGGTTCAAATCTTGCGAGGTGTAGGAGTCGTCGATACGCACTGGTGATGAGTCACATACCAGGACAAAACAGCTGTCCAAGGCTTCCCGGTTTCTAATGGTGGTCTAATAATGATCGATTCATGATTTCAGTAATATCAAGTGGAATGCTTCACTTCTATCTGAAGTTTGTGCTGATGATGTTGTTCAGAAGAACAATGAAAGCTTCACAACCAAAACAACCAGCTCAGAAAACTAAACATCACCACAAAATAGATTAAAATCATAAACATTATTATCATTATTCATAAATAATTACCATTTAAGTATTATTCAACTCACTTCATGTGCACTATTTAATTTCAATTTATAAAATACTGGCATATAAACATATGCAGCTAATGGAAATGCAATACAATAACCTCCAACTAGCAATATAAATTGAATACCAGATTGATATGCTTCTGATGCTGTGCCTAATATGGCGACAGCTGATAAAAAACTTGCCATAACACTTCCAACAATAGGTAATAAAGTTAGACTACGATCACCTAGAAATAATTCTTCAACATTCATTTTCTTTTTAGTTTTGGTTTTTGACTTTATATTGATACAATGAAAACAGTTGGCTAATTTCTGTAAAATTATATCCTGATATCGATGATAAACACCGATTAATGTGTAGCATAGAAGTAAAATAGCAAAAATCAAATAATCTGACCAATGAAAAGTTGGTAACATTTTGTAGTACAGGTTATAGTTCACTCGAGATGAATTCTAAAAAAGATTTTTAGGAAAAAATATGCAAAAATCTCAAATCAATTATCACATCTTAGTAAAAAAAAGAGGTATTTGATGTGAGTTACAGAAAAAAAACAGAAGAAATATAAATAACTCGACTACTTGACAATCAACCTTAAGGTTAAAAAACTTGAAAACATGTGGGTTGTTTAAATTTTTGGGCAATTTTCGTTCACATCAATGAAATATGTGGTGGATGTGGGCTCACCAGTTATATGACGGTCGGTATTCAATATACTCCTAAACTTCGTAAACTGCTCGTCCTGATAACCGTTACTAGACAACGCCCAACAGTATACAAATCAGAAGACGAATACGAAGCATCGGAGATGATCAATATCGCACCAGACAGATCACAAAACCACGTGCATACGACGCAAAAGTGAAAACAACATGAGCGCGTAAGCCTGTAAGAGAAGCACTGAGTGCGCCGGTGAATAGGATTAAAATATACATAGGAAAATGAATAAGTTTTCAGATTATTTAGGCGGATAACAATAAAGCGAGTAGGATGAGTATGTGTGTAGACAGTAAGCAATACTGAAGCCTAAATGCTCATATAAGCACAATAGTACAGAGAGGTTGTTGCTATACAAATGACTTTCTCTTAAATAAGTCAATCAAAAAGGTTTAACCAAACTGAATGTAAACAAACTCAAATGTATGTGAGTTGCTGTAAATCCTGAATCGATTTTAGCCAAGCCAACTTTGAAAAACTAAGACCATTGGAAAATTGAGGTATCCAATATTTGGGATGAAACAGCTGTCTTTTGATTACAAGCTTTCACTGTTGACGTAACTTGGATTGGTTAAGGACTTCAGTAAAATTCAGCAGTCTTCATAACCATATATTTTCAATTTAATAATCAATGGTGAAAGCCGTTGTAATATTGCTTACCAACTTACAGCAAAAGTTTAGGACTTTGTGGATAAATTATGATATATAAGTCTCATAATTTTAGTGATCATTGTTTGAAGTTAAAATCATATCACAAAAATATATACCAAAAATGCAATTACAAGTTAAGAGCAGCTAAAATTTAAACTATTCCCACCAGATTTGGAGTAATAATTTGATAAAAAGACGATTTGAACAAAATTCAATCTCACTTTGGGAAGGACAGAGCGCTGGATGGCTTGTATTATTCTTGGCACTGGTGGTCTATCAGCTGATCCAAATTATTTTTGAACTTGTTAACAGATATTCAAGTACGTGTTGGGGTAACGAGCTCCATTCGTTGATGATTCGATGGGAAAATCAGTAGGTAAGTGACAAGTAATTTGTTCTGGGCTTGTAAATTTCGTGAGTGTCCTCGGAAATTCTCTATTTTGGAGAACACGAAAAACATGGGCATGTCTGATATTCATTTACCATTACGTAATTCAAAAACTGTGACCACATCACCTCGAGTTTACTTTAGTCAGTCTCTCGTCAGACAGAAGCTATGAGATTGCGAGAATCAGATTAGTTGCAGTTTCTTAAACATTTCCCAACAGCTTACTATACAATTTTCAGAAAGGAACTGGCGGCAGGTAGGCGTATACAAAGACAAAAATGACGTAGCAGTGGCATGAGTAAAAGCTATAAACTATCACATACACTTTTTATTGCTCCCTATATATCGCCAGTATATAACTAATCCGGTTATGATAAGAGGCCAAAAAGATCATTAACATACAGGAAGAATAACACTAATCCTAAATTTTTACTCTGAAGCACTCCACTAAGTACCTCTTCCTCGCTAGACAACTTGGACTAAACTTGTATTCATTGTTGAGGTCCGACTAGTAAATAATTTATCAACGTAAATAAGTTGCCTCTGATCTTGATACTACTTAATTTAAATAACAGCCATTTGTAAACGATTTCGTCCAAAGCTTTACCGACGTCAATGAACAGTACATCTATAGGTAGAGCAAACCAACCTGCAACGGCTACTGATAAGTTTTTGAGACATGAATAACCTGTTCTAAAGTCGTGCTGTTCCTCACAAAGAATGCAGTTCTTTCCAAGGTACTTAAACAGCTCTTTCTAAAGTGTCTTTTCTAAATTCTACATACTGAAGTACGATTTGTTTCTCAAACGTTTCGTCAGGCTTCAACTGACATTGTTGTTGACAACGATGCTGAAATCAAAAAATAGAACTGCATAGTTACTCATACCTAGGGGTAGCGTATAATCAGGGTTTTTGATGCCTTCCTAATAATGAGTCAGTATGAGATCCAGTAAAGGCAATTTGGGGTAGTGGTCGTATAAAGTTGATTTCTCAATATGTCGCACTAGGGAACTCTTGATAACCGCAGTTTGTTAGAGTTTATCTGTACACCCAGACCTGGAGGCTTTTTCAGTAAGCTTCAGGCACTTTTATGGAAGATCCAAACACCATTTAAATGGCTTTAGCATCGCTCCCTATCGAAGCCACATCGCTCGAAAACTGGCACTTTTAAGGTCGTTCCAACCAGTATCTAAATTTAATTCTATTTTTAGGCTTTTCGCTTGCCCATAAAGTCCAAGAGCGCAAACTCTTGAGAGAAAACTTCTTCAGCCTACATCCATTTTGAAGCATCAATTTCCTCTCGGCAGGAGATTTAAATACCACATTTAGCAACCTGACTGGATGTTGTCTGTGGTCCGTCTGGTTATTCATCTATTCTGGTTTTATTCAAGTTCGTAAAGGGAACCAATTAAATGAGATGTTGTGAAAATACGTTGTTTTCAACGAAAGTTGTCGCTGTGACCTTGAATTATCTTACTCAGTCATTCTTTGCTTACGTTCGATAAGCACAATAACTAGATGTCTTGAGCAGAAAATACTTATGAAAGAGATTGATAACTTTTCACACCTTTACAGTCCCTACTATCAATCAAGAGTGGATAATGAAATAGGATGTCGAGACATATCTCAGACAGCTTGATACAGGTCTCTATTGTGGTCAGAATATCATATAATGACCCATTAGTCCCATGACTGCTTTGGACGTCGAATGAACATTATACTATATGATGATAATCCAACAATAGAAAATTCATGTCATCGACATAGCCTTTAATACACGTTGATCAAGTATATACTCTCCAAAATATTTAAGCACTATGGATTATTGAAAGAAACCCCTGACTTTGAGCAAATATAAACCAGTTAATATGTTAAGTCAAGCGACAACAAGCAAGTTACAACCATACTTTGCGCTATTAGGGTCACACAGACTAAATGCTCACTGAAAAAGATAAAACAAACTCATTCTTGTTCCCATCATTGGACATAAGAGAATATGGTTTTTATCAGCCGAATCAGTCATAAAAGCCACAGAGATCAGACTCTGCCGGAAACTTATGCAGCAGAAGCAATAGTTTGCAAGTTATTATCTCCTCCAACACATTGTCTTTTCCAGAGGCTAGTATAAACCGGTTGTTTTTAAGCACTCACTTCTTGTTCTTTCAGTATGGTTCAGGGTATTTGATGGCATCCAGTGGATGGAAGTCTAGCGACTCGACTTCACTAATTCTAGTCATTTTGCAGTTATTAGTGAATTTGTACATTTCATAATTTTAAGGAGAGTGCTTGTCTCAGGTCGGTCGGGTTTCTGAATATCAGCAACCATCACGTTTGCAGACCGTTGATCAGTTAACTGCAATAGCGATAACATTAAAGATATAATTCGAGTGCTGTAAAGAAAGAGAAACTTTCAAAACTGAGTAAATAATTGAAATAAATCAATCGATTGTTAGGGAAACATGATTAAAGAAGAGGAAACAGAAATAATAAGCAAGTCAGACTAAGTTAGTGATCTGCAGAAATCACAATGAAAGAAACAAAAAGTTTCGAGACATGAGCCCGTATATATGGTCCTGGAGGAAGATGATTATCCGTATATGAGTATGTGTTTATCAAGTGTCTTCTTGAAGTTTCCATTGAGGAGACTCTCGCCACCTCGGCTGGGGGTGCATTAAAAGTTAATTATAGAGAAAAAGTGGACGCGTAGTTGGGCACTAATTCTCTGTATTGCAATTTTTTGATGGCTTGATCACAATGGTTTTGTAAGCCAACTCATGTTCCGATGATTCTTATTACTTAATCTGAAGTGTTGGAGTTTATTTGCATAAGGTTCGTTCTTCAACCCTGTCACCCTTTTAGTTACACATCTCTGGACTCGATCCAGGAGATGTATATCTCTTCTGGAGAGAGGGGTTGCGAAGACATTATGAACTTCAAGGTGCATATTATACAGATAGTCAAGAACAATTATGGGGTCCGCATTAAATGAGGATTTGCGTTAGCCTCAGCTGCGTTCACTATGTAGTA